AAACCTACCATTGAGCCAATTAACTAACAGTTTGGGAGTGCCACTTTAGAAACTAAAAAAGATTTTCCAATTGTGGAAAACCTTCTTCAGTTTCTAAATTGGCATTAACAAACGGTTTGATAGTTAGTTCAGTGGTACGCTTTGTGACTTTTTCTTAATCTCCCGATATTCAATTTTTAGATTAGCATTGCCAATACTTTTAATATAATATATTAATCATACGTTACATGACCAAATAATCATTCAAATAGTGTATAAAAATATAATAATAATATATTAAAAAATTGTATAAATATGCTGTATATGAAACTAATAACATACCAACGAAAACAAAAATGAAATAACAAGTCAAGCACTATTAAAAGAAAAGTTATAAAACTTAAGGAAATTAAAGTTGTTTATCAAACATAACCAATGAAAATAAAGAATTGTTTGGTTGATTGCGATAATATGAAAAGAGTGCGGAGAGAATAAGATGAGCATAGAAGATGAATAGAAAGGAAGAATAGAAATGAGTAAGAGATTTTTGAAATTTATTTTTGTAAATTCAGATTATAAACTAATCCTTCGTCAGCTTTGGATTCTTTAGTGGTTGTAAGAAAGAAAATGAAAAACCAACTACTAAGAGCAACTTTAGCTCATGTTGTTAACGCAAAATTTTGCATAGCTTAGGTTAGTAATAAAGAATTATAGTAGAGCTGATATGGCATCTAATGAACTAAAATTTAGTTTTCATCATCTATATAGTTAACCTTAACTAATCAATAGGAAACCTATGTTAATATTATTTAATACTAATAAAATATTCCAATGTAAAACATGTTTATATGTTTTTTCTAAATAACACAAATTTAACGTGTTTGATTTTTCTAAAGTAACTTTTGATTTTAAATCACTTTTACATGAATGTATCCAAACATAAACACATTTTACTAAACTTAAATCTATTAAAATCAATTCTACTAAACTCAATTTTATCAAAATCAATTATGTACACGACCAATTCAAACACAAAATAAATCATGACCAAACAAACTAATACTGACATGAATTTTTAAAACTTTAGTTTAAAAACATAAAACTTTTGCTTAAAAACATAAAACTTTAAACGACATGCATATACTTGAAAATACCTCAACTTATAATTTAAAGAATCTTTAAATGAAAGTGAACTTTAAAAGTGAAAAAATACGCAAATAAGCATAAAAATTTCAACTTCAAGGTTTGGGGGTGGTTTTATATAAAAATAAAAATAATGTTCAATATGACATTTGATTTATAGCAGTGGAAAATGAGACCAGTTGTTCAATATATCTACCACCAAATTGAGTCTTTTATGTTGTTTTCACAATTATAGGATTTATTGAAGAAAAATCATGAGATTTAGAGTTAAATCACGAGGTTTCTATGATACTCCACGTTGTGTGTATTGAAGAGAAAACATGATGGTTAAAGTTAAATCACAAGGGTCATATGGTACTCTTCATGAGTTGTGTGTATGGTGGAGAAATCATGAGACTTATAGTTAAATCATACTCTACTTTGTGTGTATTGAAGAGAAAACATGAGGATTAAAGTAAAATCATGAGGGTCATATGGTACTCTTTATTGTCATGTATTATTTTATATTCCTATGAAAATGTAATTTTTTTTATGTATTATTGTTGTGAACTTTTTATCATTTTTAATTTTATAATAAAATATATTTAATATTATTTCTAAGTTTTTAAGGTAAATTTTATTTAAAAAATTGTATGCATTTTAATTAAAATAATTAAATTAATGGTAACTTGAATAAAAAATATAAAATGTGGGGTCAAGTTTTGGTTTCTTATAGACAATCATCATTAAAGTAAAAATTACTCAAATCAATTATAAATTTTTTAAATCCTACAAAACAGCTTGATCCCACAAAAAATATCTTAGTTTACCCCTTTAGTTTACTCTCATTAAAGATACTCTAAGTGCATGCGGTCCTTGTGTGAACAAAAATGGCAAAACAGAAAAGTTAATAAAAAAGAAAATTTGACTTGTACCTAACATTGGTAAAGTAGTTAAAGTGTATATAAAACAAACAAATATTACTCTTATCTCCTTACTTTTTTAAAATAATAAATATATTGCGAAGCGAAAGGATTGTAAATGATTGTAGTTATATTTTTACTTTCAATTTTTATGCTGAAAGTTTGCTTTTTATCATGAAGCGACTTGCAAAGCATTTATGATACTACTAATTTTATAGGTTTGGGTTTGAACTCATAACATAAAAATGGCAAGTCGTGGTGGAGTCTGAAATCAACATTCTCTTTGGATTCAAAGTTACACGTTTTATGGTGTCAAGTTCAAGTTATGAGCAGAATGGCATTTGGCGTCTTAATGATTTTTGCAATTGCATATTTACTAATCTTGAGATCAACAACGGTATCAGACACAATGCCAGTTACTTTCATTCTTTTGCTATTAGGAGTTGCTTGTGGCTATTGTGGCAAAGTTTGTATAGATACCTTGGGAGGTACTGGCTCTTTGTGGCTCTTATATTCTGAAGTTTTGTGCATGGTGCACTTCTTATCAATTGTTTTCACTCCCACTTTGTTCAAGATCCTTCATGGATCAGTTGCTGCATTGCAACAAACAAAGCAGAATATAATTCTTCCATATTGGTTTCGCTGATTTTGGTTCTATGGAACTTTGCTTGTGTTTCTACTATTATTTTGTGGTCTTACGCCTTTTGCGGGTGTTAATCAATGGAAAGACCATTTTTTGATGAAGGTGTCAATATTTAACAAATTGGAATGAAAGATGGTTGTTTTGGATAATTAATTTGATATAATTAATTTAATATACTATTCATTTAATATACTATTCATTTGATATAATTAATTTGCATTAGATAATTAAATTTATCAATTCATATTTACAAATACATATAAATAAATTATATATCAATTAAAATTAATGGATCCGTGCGGACGCACGGGTCTTTTACTAGTTACTTTTTTAAAATAATAAATATATTGCGAAGCGAAAGGATTATAAATGATTGTAGTTACATTTTTACTTTCAGTTTCTATGCTGAAAGTTTGCTTTTTATCATGAAGCGACCTGCAAAGCATTTATGATACTACTAATTTTTTAGGTTTGGATTTGAACTCATAACATAAAAATGACAACTGAAGTATGTACCATATAACAAAGTGTATTCTAAAAACTTTTCTGTTTGAACTTTTTTCTCTTTTCAATACTAGACTATTAAATTTATAATCGATGAGTATAAATTTAACGCGTTTTTCATGTTAAAATAAATAACATAATTTATTATGAAAAACGCGTAAAATCACGTAAAAATAAAATTTTTACATTTTTTTATATCACTCACCATATATACTATATCCTTATTTTTCTTAATTTATATAACTTCTCCTACAAGAGTTTTACTATATATACTCTATTATGGCAATAATTCATGCAATTTAGTTTCTAATTTTAGTGAATCCAAACTAAAATGGTATGCTAGTGGCAGACAACCAAATTAATAGCAATGATTCATGCAATTTAATTTCTCATTTTAGTGAAGCCAAGCTCAAATGATATACCAGTAACAGACAATCAAATTAATGGAAATGATTCATGCATTTTAGTTTCTAGCTTTAGTGAAGCCAAGCTCAAATGGTATACCAGTAGCAGTATTAATGACAATGATTCATTCAATTTAGTTTCTATCTTTAGTGAAGCTAAGCTCAAATGGTATACCCATAGCATGAAACCAAATTTGTTTCTAGCTTACCATGGGTAGCAGGAAACCAAATTAGTTTCTAGCTAGGGAGAGAGATAGAGAGAGAGAGAGTTGCATTAACCAAAGATGAGAATGCCTCTAATACATTTATGCAAGTGTTATAAAATGGTTGAGACCTAAAACATATAAGTATATAACTGAAAAATGCAAAACCTCAGGTAACCGATTACAGCTAACACTTAAAATAAAACACCTTTAGTGGTAATCGATTAACCTCATATGTTAATCGGCTACACCCTCGATAATTTTTCTTGATGGTAGTGTTGGCTTGGGGATAAGGTTGTTGAGTTGGGTTGAAAGGTTGTTGGGTGTTAAATATTTGTGGTTGGGTGTTAAATATTTGTTGTGGGGTGTTAAATGTTTGTGGTTGGGTGTTACACGATGGTCTGTGTGTTGGAAGTTTGAAGATGTGGGTTGGTTACGAGGGTCAAATAAGTATCTATTTTATGATAGATACAAATTGGTCACAGATATATACTAATTCATGTATTCCCTATTGGGTTTACATTCGGTTTCCATGACATCTCCTTGTAAGACAGTTTGGCAACGATTTATCCATTATTGATGTTCTTGTCTATTATGGTTTATCCAAATGTTGAATTTTCGTTGCTCTGTCGTTACACTCTTGTGGTACTTCTCTTTGCACCTAGGTGGACCAAAAATTTCTTATTGAATCTCAAATTGGAGTTTTATCCTATCTGAATGATGCACTTAAAAAATTTGTTTCGGGTACGATGTTGGAAATAGAAACACTACCCATGTATACAGATAAGGGAACAATTGTTGAAGGGAAACACATCTTCCACCGGCTATTCTGGGTATTCCAACCATGCATAAGATATTTTCCATATTGCAAGCCTATACTTCAAATTGATGGAACCTGGTCATATGGTAAGTACAAAGGCACACTGCTTATGGCGGTGGCACAGGATGGCAACAACAATATTTTCCCAATTGCTTTTGCCCTTGTGGAAGGTGAGACAACTGAAGGTTATGGGTTCTTTTTATGGAACTTGAGGAGGCATGTTGCACCACAATCAGACTTATGTTTGATTTCAGAACGACATGAAACGATTGAAAGTGCATACAATAATCCAAAAAATGGTTGGCATAATCCCCCATCGGTGCATGTTTATTGTATCCGACACATTGCGCAAAATTTTATGAGAGAAATCAAGGACAGTAACCTACGAAAAAAGTAATTAACATGGGTAAGTATATTTGATAACATTAAATCTTTGTTAATAACATATATTATATCTTTGTCAATTATAGATATGATAAAATTAACAATTTTTTTAACATGTAGGGTATACTTTAAATCAACCAACATTTCATTATTATCGGTCGGAAATTGACATGGCGAATGTTGATGCTTTAAAGTGGGTAGACAATATTCCAGTCGAAAAATGGACGAGGGCATTTGATAGGGGTCGACGTTGGGGTCACATGACTACCAACCTTGTTGAGTCAATGAATTATGTCTTTAAAGGCACTCATAATTTTCCCATTACAACATTGATAAGTGCAACATACTATAGACTGAGATTATTATTTGCTGAAAGGGGTGCAATGTTGAATTCTGGCCAAACATTTACAGAAAACTGCGTCAAGGTGATGAATGAAGAAACAACAAAGTCTAACACACATCAAGTCAGAATTTTTGACTACACTAACAATATTTTCAGTGTGAAGGAGACAATGGACCACAGTGAGGGGAAGCCTATGGGACATTATAAGGTCAACCTACTAAACGGTTGGTGTGACTGCAGAAAGTTTTAGGCATACCGTGTCCCTTTCTCACATGTTATCGTTGCATGTTCTAATGTGCGCCACGACGTTTATGCTCTTCTGTCCGGCGTTTACAGGGTTGCAAACCTGTTTGGGGTTTACATCACAAGCTTTTCAGTGTTGTCGTACGCTGAACAATGACTTGTTTATGAAGGAGATCAGGTTTTCCATAACCCAACAATACGGAGGAACAAGAAAGGTCACCCAGTGAGCACGCGTATTAGATCGAAAATGACGTTGATAAGCTTGAGAGAAAATGTTCCTTGTGTCGTCAAACTGATCACAACCCAACCCGGTGTCTCAATGTCGGAACAATTAATTGTTAGTGTTTTATTTTATTATCATGTATTGGTTTCATATTAATATCAAATTTCTTAATTTTCTGGACCATTAATCATTGAGTACCAAATATAAATAACATTAAATCAAATATCACAAACCAAACAACTTTATGCTTCACTAAATAACACAACACATACAACATAAATCAAGATAGATAAAAAATACTTAAAAACAACATTTAACACAACTTCTCTAACTGATTACAACTATCAGTTTGATTTTATTTTGTCCAAATATCATTTCCCTCGCTTTCTTATCATTCTTGACTCGCACCCACCCACGCCAGACATCCTACCTCTCAATACTTCTAATTTCCCCCCCTTCCAGTATGTCTCCTTCTAACCAATGTTTCAACTCCTTTTGTAGTTGCTCTAAACTACAGATGTTCCATAAAAGCATATCCATAGCCGGTTTGCCTCTCGAAAATATCGCTTTTTCGTAGTGGCGAAGATACATCTTCAAAATAATAGAAGAAATTTAAAATAGATGTGAAAAATAGTTCACATCACGCCTCTATTTATATCAGTGCCGATATTGTACATAAATAATAAAATATTCAAAGATTTCATCCATTGAAGTGTTGGGACTGTACATAAATAATAAAATATTCAAAAGTTCTGCCCATTGCAATGACGGAGTTGTACTTAAATAATAAAATATTCAAAGATTCAGATAATTGTAGTACCGAAACTGTACATAAATAATAAAATAGTCAAAGGTTCCGCCCGTTGTAGAGACGGAAGTGTACTAAAATAACAAAATAATAAAGTTTAATTCTTAATATTAATTTATATTATTTATTATTAATTATATTAATAATTAATAATAATTACATTAATTGTTAAGAGCAACTTTAACGCAAGGTTGTTAAACCAAAATTCTTTATAGCCTACGTTAATAATAAGGAATTTGCATTATAGGAGAGCTGACATGGCATCCAAATGAACTAAAATTTAGTTTCCATTATCTATATAGTTAACGTTAACTATGTGAAACCTAATATAATATTATTTAATATTAATAAAATATTCCAAATATTTCAACAACATTAAAGTAAAGATATGATATTTGAAAATAGTAACGGTCATATTATCATTTTTTACCTTCTATAAATTCTATAGAAATTTTAATTTTTTTTACACACAGTTTTACTTCTAAATTTTTTTCTTTCAATTTCCAATCTTATTTATTTATCAAATGGATCCCAACCAGTCGAATCCTTATTATAATTATATTCCTATGAAAATGTAGTTTTTTTTTATGTATTATTGTTGTGAATTTTGTATCATTTTTAATTTTATAATAAAATATATTTAATATTATTTTTAAGTTTTTAAGGTAAATTTTATTTAAAAAATTATATGTATTTTAATTAAAATAATTAAATTAATGGTAATTTGAATAAAAAATATAAAATGTGGGGTCAAGTTTTGGTTTCTTATAGACAACCATCATTAAAGTAAAAACTACTCAAATCAACTATAAATTTTTTAAATCCTACAAATCATTTTTGGTCCACAAAAAGTATCTTAGTTTGTCCATTTAGTTTACTCCCATTAATTGTAAGTAAATATATTAATAATAATTATTTTAACATAATTATATATTAATAAATATTAATATATTAATAATAATTGTATTATTTTTAATATATATTAAATAATATACATTAATATTAATATATATTAATTAAGATTAATACGTATTTATGTCAGTTATAAAAAAATAAAAATAATTTAGTTGTTTATTGTCGCGTTTTTAATGGACAGTAGATTTTACTTTTTAAAGGTGTTGTTCTTTTAATGGGCGGCAGTGTCAACGTGGTGTTTTTTTTTTTTTAATTATGGCATAATGATATATATATATATATATATATATATATATATATATATATATATATATATATATATATATATATATATATATATATATATATATATATATATATATATATATATATATATATATATATATATATATATATATATATATATATATATATTTTTTTTTTTTTTTTTTTTTTGTAGCATAGTGGGAAAAAAATTCTATTGTTGACACTTCAATAACATGTAAATGACTTAAAAAGTAATTGTTTGTCAAAAATGGAAGAAAATAAACATGGGGCCACATAGAGACGTGTTGGTCATCAAACATATATACATAGATAGATTATAGATATAATATTTTAGCAACAAGAATGCATGGGTTCACACATGCCCTTATATTGGTTTGAACATAGAGAATCCTACTAGCCATGTGAATTATGCTACATATTTTCTTAGTGCATTTAAAATCAGCATGACACGTATCTTTTTTTGGTAACTGCATGGCACATATATATCTGAACCTGCTTTGTTGAATTAAATTTCGTTTGAAAAAGAGAGATCCATAAACATGGAGGAAATTAGAAGGCACAAATGTGGGCTTGTCTCTCAATAAATACATATTTTGTCACAAAAGACAACTGGTGTGTATGGAAGTCTCCAATCCTTATCATAACTGCTGGTTATTGCAACATGGCAATTTTATGGCATGCAGTGATTCAATGGTATGGCAATGTTTGGTCCATTCATTAATTGCTAGTTTTGAGTATTGAAACTAATGCAATTTGAGTTTGAGTATGACATGGTAGGGACAAGGATTTATCTTCATTTTTGTTTTTTATATGAATATAGATGAAAATAAGATTCACAAGGAATTAAAATAACCTCCAAAAGGGTATATAATATAATGTATATTTGCGTGTTTTTCGCTCAACAATTGTTTGTTTTTGTTGTTGCTTTGATATGTTTGTGTCAATAATCAATAATGGAAAATAAAGTGGGGGCCATGAAACAAGTGTTTGCGTAGGAAGCATTGCGCTTGCAAACAAAACACAACCCAACTAATTATTAGCGACATCAAAATTTAATCTTTAGAACACTATCCCTCACATGATCTGTATCCCATATATGAAGTTGTTTGACCCGTGTGGTAGGTGTGTGATCCAACGGCCTTGGTTTATATAATTAGATTGAAAGTTTTGTAATGTGTTTGATCTCAATTGTTCATTTTTTATGAGAGGCTATAATTACTATATGGAATTGAAATATGTAGTTACTCAAATAATCTTTCAATTGATAGAAACTAAGCAACTTAATGTTAGAAATCTTTTCTTGTCAATATTGTATTTTTTGATAAATGGCATTATCAAATGTTATATTGTGATAGTCTTTTAGGGATGTCAACGGAGCTGAGAATGCTTCTCCACTTTCTGTTCCGTCCTCTAATATTTTCTCTATTTTGTTTCTGATTTGTGTCACGGAGGAATATTTTTTTCCATCCCCATCCCCACAGATCTCCACAGAGAATCGGAGATCCACAGATATCGAATCATAAAAAAAATTATATATATTTTTATCAAAACTATGACATTAATGTTTAGTTTTTTTATCCTTTTTTTAAAACATATATTTTACATTTTTTTAATAAATAAAAACACATCTTGAATCAATAACAAACAAATGCAAAAGCACTTGCAGTTACAAAAACATAACCACTAATTTATTAATTAACAAAAATCAGCTTGATAATTGAAGTATATTGAAGTTGAAGAGTAATTACCATAAGTATAATGAACAAATGAGAGTGGTTGTTTTGATAATGATGAGAATAGAGAAGATGAGAAATGAAGGAGACAAAGAGAATTGAGAAAAGAAGGAGAGGAAATAGTGTATACATTGTATGAATTTGGTGCACTTTTCTAGGATGATGTACTTCAATGGTGAACCAATACATTATACAATAAAAAAAAAATGATCCCCTTATGACTCTCGATTTCCTAATATATTAATTAATTTTTTATAAAATAAACACGCCAAATTATATAATATAAAGTTAAATATTATGGTCGGGGTCGGAGAATCCGCGAAGCGGAGGGTACTTCTCTAATTCCCGCACTAAAGTGTCATCGGGGGAACTTTTCCCTCCATCCCCGTCCCCGCGGGGGACAAAATCCCCGACTTCGGAGCTCCAAACAGATAATCCCCACAGGGATCCCCATTAACATATGCAAATTGACGTCTCTATAGTCTTTGAATGGCTTAATGCATCAGTTGGTATCTTAACTTCATTTTAAGTTTCGGTTTAGTTCTTTATTGAATAAATATTCGTTTTGAGTCCCTTAAATATACTTCCGTTAGCCACTCTGATCTCGTCTGTTAAATTTTATAAACTTTTGTTAGCCAGTGAATGCGTGGCACTCCAGATGACGTTTATTAGATAACATGGATTTAAGTTTGTAAAATTGAAAGACTGAGTCATCAAACGTAAGTTGAAACATTGAATTGCACTTCACCCACATCGTGTTCAGTATGTGTCATAAAAAACCCTTGACAAAATCCAAGTTGAAACACATTTCATTTTCACTACGTTCGTTCATTTTCACTTCTCCATTTTTCATTATCATTGAAGATGAACTTTCACCACTCACCAATCGTTAGTACTTCTCATTTAGGTTTCTTCATCCATCATGCATCAGCAAAAAATTTAGGTTTCTAACCACGTCGTTTCTGCTACTTCTCATTTAGGTAGTTTGCTTAGGTTGTCAAAGCTTGTTTATCCATAATACAGAGTGGTAGAAGAACTTCATTCACCTACAATCATAAGAT